ATATTTTATTTCAATTAAACAAAATTAATATTTTAGCCTTTCAATTTTGTATTTATTTATTTTTATTTTTTAACTTTCTAATTTTTTTTTTATTTCAGTTTAGTCTTTTAACTTTTTTAAAAATTAGTCATCTAATTCTATTTTTTTTATATTGGTTCTCTAAAATATTCAAATGATTAAACTAATGAGCTAAAAATAGAATAAAAATAGTTAAAAATTAACATAAAATAAAAAATTAATTTTTTAATTAAAATAAATAAAAAAATATAATAAAAATAAAAAATCAAATTTAAATAAAAAGAAAGTTACAAATCATCTTATATTTTTCTATGTATTTAATTCTTTAATCATGACATCCTTCAAAACTAAAATTCTAACTCCGTCCCTTTCGCTAGTTAAGTAATTGAGAGTTACTTGGACAAATAATTTTCTTATATCAGAAAAAAAAATTGGGCCCACAATTTTACTCTTAAATAATTAGATGAATCCAACGACGATATATTACCTTCTTTATTTTTTTAAAAAAATTATCAAATAAAACTCATAAATATTTTACATTTATATATTTTATAAACATATTTTTTAATATTTTATCTTATAATATTAATTTTTTTAAAATTATTGGTCAGTATGTACTTTAATTATAGTTGATATTTTATTTTTAATAATTTAAATATTTCTAATAATTGACTAATGTTATTTAAGTGAGAGAATATTATATTAATATTTTATTAATATTAATATCTTATTTAACTATAAATTAGTATTAATTAATTATTTAAAAAATATATTTAAAATTATTAATATTTTATAATATTATTTATTAATTTTATATAAGATTAATTTATAAATATAATATTATTATTATTATTATTATTATTATTATTATTATTATTATTAAGCTTTAGTAGTAATAGTTTTGCGATAGGGTAAATTATTCAATCTTATAATGTTTGAAAGAGATCTATGATTTTATTTAATGAGTTAAGTGGTTGTCTTCTCATTAAACATGTTAAACAGATAGCTTTCTTTTCTTCAACTTATTAAATATATTATTATTTATTTTCTCCATTTTACATTTATACTGTAAAAAGAATAACAGATGACTTTAATAATTGAATGATAAGTATACATGTCTAACTTTATTTATTTAATTTCATACTATAATTATAAAATTAATATTTTAAATCATTATATATTTTAACATATATGACTTTAGGTGTATATCAATTTCTATATGGATTGTCTATTTAAAGTGTTCGGTAGAAGTTTAGATTTCTCTTTTTTATGTGATTGAAGTGCTAAACTTTTAGTCACTAATTAATTTAAAAATATATATTATTTATATAGAAAATTAATTATTCAGATAGATAAAATATAAAAGATATATTATTATAAAATATTTATTATTTTTATATTATAAAAATTAATTTAATGATAATACATGTATAAAATAATAAAAGAAGAAAAATTCCTTGCCCAACCATTATAGTACATATATAATTTTTTAATGTAAATTCTTACATTAATTTTATCATTTTTGTTTTTTATTTCTTTATCTATTCAAACAATTGGAATGTAATATTTTTTCCTATGGTTTTCTCCTCTGTTTCTTTTCTATCAATTTCAAAAATCATATTTTTATGTGTATAAATTTAATATTAAAATGTTAAATTTATATTATCAAGGTGTAATTAAATATGTAGATAAACTTTAAGAGATATCACTAATTTTTTAAAATTAAACAAATATTTTTTGCATTTCAATTAAACAAAATTAATATTTTAGTCTTTCAATTTTATATTTATTTATTTCATTTTTTTAACTTTCTAACTTTATTTTTTATTTCAGTTTAATCCTATAATTTTATTTAAAAAAATAAAGAACTAAAACTAAAATAAAAATAAAGATAAAACAATGATATATCACCTTCGTTAGTATTGTAGAAATTGCACTCATTATGCTAATGCCATGTCAATTTACAACATTATGGTGCACCTAACTGAGGGCGTTGTGTCAAGTTACTGTGCAATTGAAGTAAATGTATGAAACAACGTTAGAACAAGTCTTCATGCCACCTTTTTGACGTGAAATAAACTTATTAGATGTTAGTTGATCCCTGTTGGTTGCAACCACTTATCCCTCGTTAATGTAGACGTCAACTTACCAAGAAAACCAGCTACAAAGTCTTTTCACAAAGACATTTTCAACAATTTTTACAATGAAAATATTTTTAAAAACTATCTTAAATAAAATTATTTTCTTCCTCGATATCGTACACTTTTCAATCGCTATTTTATAATTTGTTTAAAATTAAAAATTTATCAATATTAATATTTTAAAATTTAAAAATAGTCATTAAAATATTTTAATTTTTTCAAAAACTTATTTTAATATATATGCACATCAATGGAGGGTTTTTTTTTTATACATGGCAACAAGAAAAATAAAGGAAAACAACGACTTAAGTCAAAGAATTGCAAGACCCATCACATCTTAAAGGACATGTGTGCTCCTTAACCTCCACATCTTAAATTTGTTGCACCACTCTTTACTAAGTGATCAACAATCACATTAATTACTTTGACGAAGGATATGTTAAAAGCTAATTTGCCAAATCTTATCTTTAAAATATTTATATCGTAAAATTTAAATATAGTCATTGATGTATTTTTAATATTTTATTGAAAATATTATTTTAATTTAATATTATTTATATAGTGTATGAATTATTCATTATGTAGATAATATATTTCAGAAATAGAAAAAGGTAAGAGTGAAAAAATATACTAAAACCCAAACGATTTGATGAAAATGTTTGTTAGTTTTTTCCCCTTATGAGAGGCATTTTACTCATTCAAAATACATTATTTATTCGTTCGTTGTAGGTGTTTTGTTCAACTACGTAAATTATTGTTGTAGGCCATTATTTATTTCACAATAGACGTACAAGACCGAGTCATAGAAGATAAACTTGAAAGAGAATGTGTGCGAGAGAGATTTCAACTCTTGTACCATTTGATAATTTTTAGTTTATTTGCATTTTTTATCCCTATATTTTAAAGCATGTATGATTCTAGTTCTTCTAATCTTTAATTAATCATATTTTGTCCTTTATTTTTTTAAAATATTCAAATTAAATCTTTGACTCCAAATTTAGACTTTTATTAGATTTTATACATTTTATTTTGTATTTTTATTTAAATCCTTGTATATCTTTTCTTTATTTATTTGTAAAAATAAATAAAATGTTATACTTTCCATATATTTTATTAACTATTAGATAAATTTTGGAGTAGAAAACTTAATTTGAGCAATTAAATCTAGAAAGACGAAAATTACACATATATTAAAATATAAAAATTAAAAAAGTGCAATTAGACAACTTTTTATTGAATAATTTAATTTTAAAATTAACTATAAGCTCTAATCATATAATGACGTAGATGATGTCTTCAAAATTTTAACTCAACTAAATTATTTTTGACATTTTGTTTATACATATCAAATTAATGTAATATATACTTTTAAAATATATGTAAATAATATTTTTATTAATTTTTAATGGTTAAATTAATGTAAATTATTTTTTAATGTTAAGTTAATGACAATATAAAAATGATCGGCTTTGTATTCAAATTTTCAAACAAATATAACTTCACGTGTCTCATAAATTCATGATTAATAATAAAAAATTATTCACAAAATATTTTTTTATGTCTAAATTTTAATTTTATCAAAATCTCTTTTATTTGTGCTTTTTTAAGTAACAATTGCCACGTTAATTAAAAAGTTTAAATAAAAAGTAATTAAATTGAGTTGATGCGGAATTTTATTCGACATTAATATTAAAACTACAAATTGGTGAAAGAAATTTAGGGGAAATACAGAAAATTAATTATTGTTTTTCAACGTTGAGAATAGAAAAGCTTTCTGTAGATAGACAACAGACAATGAAACTGTTTTTTAATTATTACTCTCAATTGATAGTTCAGAGAAATGAGTTTTTCTCTATTTTGAAATTTTCTTTTATGTAAAATTAATGAAATATATTAAGTTAGAAGATAAAACAACCGTGAAAGATTTGAAGAGACATAAACAGTTGAACGTCATTTATATAACAATTTTTATATATTTTTTATTTATTTTTCTCAGTTATCTTACATATCTCATACCATAATTTTCTCTTTTTTAAATTCTTTTCCTATATATTTATATCAATTCATAGATTAAAGTGAAACATTTATAAAGTTAATAATTAAAGCGGACAATATTAACAATCTCATATTTATTCTATTTATTTGTTTTTAAATTTTACAAAATTTACTCTCTTTTTTTCTGACCTTTGAAAACTAAGGCTAGATATTACAAATTAAACTTAGTTTCACTAACCCTAAAATGAAATTATAGTCTTAAAATCTTCAGAGGTTGATAGAATGGAGAGAGAGAAGGTTTTACATCTAACAAGTCCCAAATTTGGCATTAAAATCTAAAAAGGTTGATAGAGGGAAATAAGACAAGTCTCATATTTAATTAGTCGCTAGTTCAAATCTTAACTCGTTTTTTCATAGCAACTTAAAAGCAAATTTTACTCTTTGAAACCAACAACTTTTCCTTCCTTGAAATGAGCACTCTCTATTCTTTCTAAAAATTTTAATGAAAACTCTGCAGCCATTGAACCATGTTTTATGCTGTGTAACTATAAATTTTGAGAGAATCTATTGTCACATTCATGTGTATTACACACTCCTTTTTAAGTGGCTTTTGGCTGAAATATTTTTTTTTTCTCTTATAACTATATTAATAATAAGGGTATTTTATATAATTTTTTAAAATTAAAGTAACAATAGACATGTAAGCGTTACAATAAGCATTACCCATAATTTTAGCTATAAGGTTGGCATGGAATGACAAGTCATATTTGCTGAAGTCAATCCAAGCAGTAGGCACTATTACTCAACTATACAATTATAAATATAAACCCTGCCATCCCATTTTTATTGAAAAGCTTGACATAGTTCAGATCATTACATATCAGCAAAATTATGAGTGGTTATCTTCTCATAACATTTCAAGTACTTGTATTGCTTTTATTGAAAACCTCAGAATCCACTCTCCCATTAAATTGGCCAAGTGAAAATGCACAAGTAAAGTGCAAAGGGAAGGAAAGACAAGCACTTCTCGATTTTAAGCAAGGCCTTCTAGATGACTCTGGCTTGCTATCTACTTGGAGGGAGGATGAAAATAATGGAGATTGCTGCAAATGGAAAAGAGTTAAATGCAACAATAAAACAGGTCATGTTCAAATGCTTGATCTTCATGGTCAAGATGCACAATATTTGATAGGAACCAATATCACTGCATTGACTGAATTGCAATATATGGAATACTTGGACCTCAGTTGGAATGAATTTATTTACGCTAACATCCCAAAACTCATAGGCTCCTTAACCAAGTTAAGATATCTCAATCTGTCATATTCTGAAATTGCTGGGAGGATTCCTTATGAAATAGGGAATCTCTCAAAGCTGGAGTATCTTAATCTTGACAATAATCATCTTTTTGGAGAAATTCCTTCTCAACTAGGGAAGCTTATGCGTTTACAATATTTGGATATAAGTCATAATGATGATATTGATGGTGAAATCCCTTTTCAACTTAGAAATCTCTCACATCTATGGTATCTTGATCTTGGAGGAAATTCACTTTATGGAGCAATCCCTTTTGAGATTGGGAATCTTTCTATGTTGCATACTCTTAAGCTTGATGGCAAATTTGATGTCAAAACTATTGATGCAGAGTGGTTGTCTAATCTCTATTCCTTAAGAAATCTTGACTTGAGATCATTGCATAATATTGGCTCCTCTCATCACTGGCTACAAACTCTTAGTAAGCTCATTCCAAACTTAAAGGAATTGAGGCTAGTTGGTTGTAGTCTTTTAGATTATGATATTCGATCTTTGTTCAATTCTCATTCAAACTATTCCACTTCTCTCACCATCTTGGATCTATCTTCTAATATGTTGACATCATCAGCATTTACATGGTTGTTCAACATTAGTCTTAATCTTCAAGAGCTTTATCTTTCACATAATAATTTTGTTTTGTCATCTCCTTTCTATCCGAACTTTCCTTCTCTTGTGATCCTTGACCTCTCTTACAATAATATGACATCATCAATATCACAAGGTAATTTTAACTTCAACTCCAATCTTCAAGAACTTCGGCTAATAAATTGTAGTCTTACAGACGAAAGTTTTCTCATGCCGCCCATTTCCATTTCAAATTCTACATCTTCGCTTTCTACCCTTGATCTCTCCTTTAATATGTTAAAATCACAAACTATATTTCATTGGCTTTCTAGCTTCACCACCAATCTTTATTTCCTTTACCTTTCTGGTAACTTGTTAGAAGGTCCTATACCAGATGGATTTGGGAAAGTAATGAACTCTCTCCAAGTTCTTAACCTTTCCTCTAACAAACTACATGGTGAGATTCCAGCTTCCTTTGGGAATATGTGTACATTGCAAGAATTATACCTCTCAAACAACAGATTCAGTGGGGATATTTCTAGCTTCATTCAAAATAGTTCATGGTGCAATAGACACATTTTTAATACTCTGGATTTATCTTATAACCAGATCACAGGCATGCTACCAAAAAGCATTGGATTACTATCTGAGCTTGAATGTTTGTACTTGGAAGGGAATTCTTTGGAGGGTGAAATAACTGAATTGCATTTCACTAAATTTTCCAACTTACAATGGTTAACCTTATCATACAACTCACTGTCCCTAAAATTTGTCTCTAGCTGGGTTCCTCCTTTCCAACTGGTAGAATTGAGACTAGCATCTTGCAAGTTGGGTTCAAGATTTCCTAATTGGCTTCAGACTCAACGTTCCTTAACAATTCTAGATATTTCTGATTCTGGGCTCAATGACTCTGTACCAGAATGGCTTTGGAATAACTCACAATACATGGAGTTGTTGAATATGTCTCACAACAATCTTGTTGGTGCAATTCCGAACAAACCATTCAAGCTTCCTTGTGGACCATCTGTATATCTGAATTCAAATCAATTTGAGGGTAAAATTCCATCTTTTTTGCTACAAGCTTCAAAGTTAATGCTCTTCGAAAACAAATTTTCTTATTTCTTTTCATTGTTGTGTGACAAAAGCATAGCTGTATACTTGGGAACTCTAGATTTATCAAACAATCATATCAAAGGGAAACTGCCAAATTGTTGGAAATCTTTAAAGTTACTATTGTTTCTTGATTTAAGTAATAATAATTTGTCTGGGAAGATTCCACCATCTATGGGCAACCTTGGTAAATTGGAAGCTTTGGTTTTAAGAAACAATAGTCTAGAGGGTGAACTACCTTCCACTTTAAAGAATTGTAACAGTTTAATGCTGTTGGATGTGGGTGAAAATTTGTTCTCTGGTCCAGTACCATCATGGATTGGAGAAAGTATGCAGCAACTGATAATCTTGAGCATGAAAGAGAATCACTTCTCTGGAAATATTCCTATCCAGCTCTGTTATTTAAGGCATATTCAATTGTTGGATCTTTCAAGGAATAACTTATCAAAAGGAATTCCATCATGCTTAACGAATTTTACAGCATTGTCTGAAAAGAACATTAACTCAACTGAAATTCAAAGTCATGTATATTGGTACAACAGCACTTATGTAGAAAATTATGGTGGTATTACTCAGGATGGTTATACACTCAACATAACGTTGATGTGGAAAGGTGTGGAATATGGGTTCAAGGATCCACAGGTGAGACTTAAGAGCATTGATATCTCGTGCAATAGTTTAACTGGTGAAATACCAAAAGAAGTTGGATATTTGCTTGGATTGGTTTCTTTGAATTTATCAAGAAACAATTTGAGTGGAGAAATTCCTGCTGAGATTGGGAATTTAAAGTCACTAGAATTTCTTGATTTGTCAAGAAATCATTTCTTTGGCAAAATTCCTTCTTCTCTTTCCAAAATTGACCGTCTTGCTGTGTTAGATTTGTCAAGTAACTCTCTCTCTGGAGAAATCCCTTTTGGAAGACAGTTGCAGACCTTTGATGCCTCTAGTTTTGAAGGAAATCTTGATCTTTGTGGTACACCACTCAATAAAAGTTGTCCTGATAATGAGATACTAATACAGACTCAAGAATCAACAAGACATGAAACAAATGATATTTCAGTTTTCTACGAAGCATTATACATGAGCATGGGCATAGGATACTTCACAGGCTTCTTGGGCTTATTAGGATCAACACTGTTTTGGAGACGTTGGAGAAATGCTTACATGAGGTTCTTAAATAAATTGACAGACTATATATGCATAATGGTTGCAGTGAATGTGGCATAGTATCACATGTGGCTCAAATGCTAGTGGGTATGTAATTCTAATAACTTTTTTCTTTGAAGTTCATCATGTTTTATTAATAGTTGATGTTAGATGAATCAATAATACCTATGGATATTGAAAAGCAGAGTAATTGTTTATTTTTTTTTCATGCCTCTAATAATCGTACTTGCTTCTTCATTGAATGGTCGTTTCATGAACATAATTAAATTAGAGTTTGTCTTTGCAGGTTTAATTTAGAGTTGTCATGTTTTTAGATGACTTCTCTAATGTTTAAACCTCCAAATATGTGCTTACAGTTAAATACATTTTTTGAAACTCAGTTCCAATTATTACCGATTTGTTTTTCTAATTTGGTGAAAATATTAAGTTTCCATTTTTTTTCTACCAGACTGTTATGTCTTACCATAAAATTTGCAGTTTATTGCGGATCAGCTACGCACTTGTGATGTGGGATGAAAGCGTCAAGGATTGCAGAAAGTGAAATATATATACTGTTGAAGTTTACAATATATGTGTGAAATTAACTTGCAAATAACCGTTCCAAGAAACTTTATGATTTGGTAGTGTTTTATTAGATGATCTATCAGTAAGTTATGCTATTTTCCTTTGTAAGTTAAGACTACTGATATATAAGATATGAAGGTTTTGCTTTCCATCTTGAAGAATGCTCCTTGTTTTTAGTATCTCCTGCATTCAAAACAGGAAAATTCTATGGTGCCTTCCAAGTTTGATGGATTTTGGTACATTTATGAGGTGGATTAATAAAAAATTAATATTTGTAAATTAATTAATTGTGTCGTTAGCTAATGTGTAAAAAATTAAAATTAATATGAATAATTTTTTAAAATAATTTACAGTTATGTTGAAACTCCTATGGGCTCAAATTCATAAATGTGCAAAATTTAACAATTTTAATTCTAATTTTTAAGAATTTGAGTAACAAATCTCAATCCATGATTTGAAGAAGAAAAGTTAAAAAACACCTCCACATCCTCACCCTAATATTGATATATGTTCACAATTCCTACAATAAATCTTTATAAAAAAAATGTTAAAAAGGTGCTCTGCAGTTCATATCATCTCTTCATTATGACATAAGCCCTAACGAATTAGGTTAAGTCAAAATAATCCAATACAAAACAATAGTTTCACCCTATACTTGCACTGACCATTTGTCTGTCCAGTCTTCATGTACAAATAATTTGATATTTTTGTTGTAAACAAAAAATTAGATTAACCTCATTATTTTTTGATGAATAGATTAATACAATTTGGGGGGGGGGGGGGGGGGGGGAGACACAAATCAACTTGCCCCCTTTCTTGAACTGAAGTTGCATTTTGTAATGCTTCAATAGAATTATTAATCATGCTTGCCAATCCACATTCAGTTTAAATAAGGGCCTAGGGTTTTATCTCCATCAAATTCATAAAATTTACCCAGATTATTTTTAAAATTTGAAATAAAAATAAAATAAAATAAAATAAAAGTAAGATAATGATATCGTTAATTTCTTTACACATGTTAATATTTTATTGATTCGTTAGGTACGTACCTTAACCCATTAAATTTTATAATTACCACAGCAAACACCTTCAGAACAACTATCTCGAATTTGTATATATCCACGAAATGCAATCCAAGATCCACAAATGCTGGTAGATCCCGATAGTATTTAGGCAAATAAAATATACAAACAATACTATGGATTGCATGTTATTAGGCAATAACAGTGGTTGGACTAAAAAAGTTAATAACTAATAACTGATTTCTATTGTATAAAGTGAACGAAGTTACTACCTCTCGCCCTATTTAATTTATAAAAAAAAAACAAACAATTAATTCATTGATACCAATTAAAACAGTTACATCATATTAAATGACTACATTAGTGACTAATGAAAAGAATAAGTGAGTGCTTAGTTAACATAACTATATAATAAATTAAGAGTGTAAAAAGAATTTAGAAATTAATATGTTTGTAAATAGAATTAGAGGTAATACTAGATATTACTAAGTGTCTGTTTGGTGAAGGGAATTGAGTATGTAATTGAACGTTAGAATTGAAATTGGATTTCAGAATTTTAATTATCATGTTTAGATGTCCATTTAGAATTGGGATTATAATTCCATAGATCAATTTTATGGAATTCTATAACAACTAAATTTGACTCACTTCAGTTCTTAACATGTACCTTAGGAATTTAAATTTCTAATGTCATAATTGACAAATATACTCTCTCGTATTGTGTCTCCTCCTCGTCTCGTATTCCTTGTCTTCATGGTTCTTGTTCTTCTTAGATACTTTCTTCCTCATGTACTTTCTTCCTCTCTCTCTTTCTTTGTTTTTTTTTTTTTCGAGCATCTTTTGTAACGCTCCTAATTTTCTAATAATAATTATTGTTATTTATATAAATCTAATACATATATATGTGTGTACAAGTGTAAATGAATGTTATGAATTTACCTTGGATGCGTAATGATGGTGTTTTGTGTGTAATGAGTATGAATATATGTGCATATATGTATGTTGGGGATGTGTGTATGTATATACGTGTATGCATGACTGGATAGGGCTGAAATGGGCTAAGTGCCTAAGTGCATGGCGTGATACTGGGTTGTTCTCGCTGCAACGAAAGGACTCTCGCTACCCTGGGAGAAAGGACTGAAACTGTCACCTTCTCGCTATAGCGAGAGACGTCTCGCTGTAGCGAGAAAATGACAGTTTGGGGTGCATTTCTGGGTGTAGTCTCGCTGTAGCGAGATTCTGCAGAAACCAGAGTATAGTTTTCTTTGATTTTTTTTCTGTAGTAAGAGTGTCGCGACCAAAAAAGGATTTAAAGTGGGTTAGGGTTAGGGGAGAGTTATTTCTCCCTCTCCCTTCGAAATTCCTTTGATCCTCTCGTTTCCAAAGCCCTATTCCACCAATTAATTGCCTCCAAAGCCGTTCGGGAGCTTGATTGAAGGTTGAATCCATGTGGAGAATGCTTGGAGGTAAGTTTTAATGGTTAGGATTTCGATTTTTCATCCCCTTTCTGTATTTTCATGGTTCTCCTGGGTTCTCATGGAGTTTCTCCATGTGTTTAGAGCAAAATTCGTGAGGGGGAACACTTCTTGGTGGATTTAGCGCGTGGGACGTCAATCCAAGGTAAGGGGGGACTCTATCCTACTCTTTTGTGCAGTGAATTATTGTTATTTTGCTTAATATTGTGTTGTGGCTGAGTTAGGGGGTAGGAAATTGCTGAGAAATGTTGCATGATAGATGAATATTGGCTATATGCCGTGTGATGTGAAATGAATATGGGCCTAGTGCCGTGTATTTGAATGCAATGTGGGCCGTGTACCGTGTGTAAGCATGATCATTGCATGCGTGAATGAAATATATGTGTGAATGGGCGTATTAGCGCCATTGTGATGTGCTGTAAATGGTTCAGCGATACACTGGGGGTATGGAAGATGAGGACGGTAGGAATACCTTGGGGAGGAGAGAGTGGTGGTGACACCAACTACAGAACGGGTGCACCACAGGCCACACATTCTCTTCCTGACTAGACCTCTGACCACTATCCTTACTGAGCGACTCGTGACTGCCCATGTGGTATCCGTGAGGTGGGAGTAACCGGCAACCATTCATGGTGTAAATCTGTGATCACAGTACTATAGTGAGTGTGACTGACATGCGTATGCATAGATCTTTGTTTTGTACTTATGGATGTGAATTGCTTCCTGTGATTATGTTTGTTGAATGTATTGAAAAGGTTCTTAAGGTGAGACTCTATGTTGATTATGTGTTTTGGGTAGTGTAGAGTACTCATCCTTGCATTCATTTTTCAGGTAATCAAGACGATCAGCATCAGACTCAGTGAAGGGATGGATGGACTGCTATAGGACTTAGTTTTTATTTTAAAATTTGTTGTAACTAAACTAGTCTTATAGCAGTCATTTAATATTAATTTGTAACCCTTTCCTTATTTTGAAGTATTTTATGAAAATTGGTTATTTGAATTTGTGAAATTCCTATTAAACCGAAATTAAATTTAAGGTGTTACATCTTTCTTCCTCTTCTTATGTTCTTTTATTTTTCTGTATTCTTTTCTCTTTTTAACTCCACTTTTACATTGATTTTTAGTACAATTTATTTTCCTATTTTCTCTTATTTTTCTCTATTCTTTTTTCCTCGTTTTATATTGATTATTGATAAAAGTAATTTTTCTCAAAAAATTTTCTTCTTGTTCTTTCTATTCTTCTTTTATGTCTTTTTTTTTTTTATATTTATTTCCTATTTTTTGTTTACATCTTATTTTTTCTTTCTCCTGATTCGTATTGCTATTCTGCAGTTACTATAAACTATATTGTATTGCTATTCTATACTTTTTACACTTGTTGTAGACTATATTATTTATGTTAATTGTATAATAAATTATTTAATACTTTTCTTGAATTGTTAAATGTTGGAAGAAATATTAAAAATTAATTCAAGAATTATTAAGGATACAAGAGAAATAAAAAAGAGAAAATTAGTGCCAAATGCAACAAAGTGATAAAGTCACAATAAAAAGTATATACTTTTGAGGTGATTATATTATGGGACTAATGAGAATTGCTATAATCAATTACTTTTTACTAAACAAGTTTTTTTTTTTTTTTTTTAGCTTTGCAATATTTTACATGAAAAAGGAGGACTACATAATACTTATCACGTAGAAGAATCTGTTGCAATGTTTCTACTTATTTTAACTTATGGTCTTAAAATAAGAGTTTTTCGAAGCACTTATATTCAATTTATATTTTTAATTTTAATAATTAAATTGTATTTGTGAGCATTCATATGTTTTCATCTAGTTTATGAGTAAAATAGTTCATAATATAATATTAAATTTTAGTAATAAATTAAATATAAAAATAAATTTATTGTGTCATAATTTTTAAAAAAATATTAAGTTATCATCTTTAACAATTTATTTAATAATTATTTTATATTTTTAATTAATATATTATTTTTGAAAAAGTTATTAAATAAAATTTTAATACAAAATAATTTTTTTTTAAAAAAATTTAGATCCTACATCATACTATAGAATTTGATTTCAACTTATAATTCTAATTGTACATTCTAATTCTTTAAATACGCTAAACATAGAATTGTGATTCTGAACTAATTTCAATTCTGATGGAATTGAAATTATAATTCTAAATATCATTTCTAATTCCATGCACTAAATGAGTCCTAATATAAAATTGATAGGAATATATATTGGATATGATGATAATACAACATATCAGCTAGTATTAAAGTATTAATCCTTAGAGTTTGATAAGGGTTGACAAAGTGACAGATGCCACTCGTCAACAAGTAGTTATGTGTGAAGCAGAAAAAAGAATAATAGTGTTTATTAATCCAAGATTTGGAGCAATGAGTTGACTAAATTTTAGGTTAAGAATGCCAATTGTAGAAGTGGGGCATAATTAAAATCAAGGCTGGGGCAAAAATTAAAATATCCCATCAGATTCACAAAAATGAAAAATTTCAAGTTTGTTTGAGAAAATGTGAATAGTTAGATATCCAAATATGAAAGATTATTTGCAGTGGATGACATGCTCAAAATGAATAAGGTAGCACTAGCTACTATAGTTATTAATGAAGTGTCCTGTCAATGGTTC